CTCCCCATACCACTTCATCCGTAGGAGAAATATGTTTTTTTTGCTTTGTTTTATTTTGTTTTTGTTTTTGTTTTTGTTTTTGTCTTTTTCCGTTTTGTGGCTGCCTTCCAGGGCCTCAGATATCAGGATAAAAGATCCTGAATGCCCTGATTTCAGGATCTGCATGGTGCCCCAGGACTGACATTTCAGTATTTGTATAAAAACCGGCCTGACAAATCAGTATTTATAGGATTTTGCATCCTGTGATCTCAGGATTTAAAAGTACCCCGGACCCTGATCCATCAGGATCCTATTGGAAAGTACACTGAATCAGCCTGTACCGCGAAAAAAATTTTGGCGACTAGATACAAAACTACCGACAGGGGTACAGCGCAACATGCGAGATGTGCGGTGGGAAATGATGAAATTTGCACCGCTGTACAGATTTTTTCGCGCGTGGCTGTACAGCGACACATCAAAGTTGCCATCTCGACCAATCAGGACCCGCCGCAGCAAAGAACCCACGCGGCACGCGGCAACTTTGCCACGCTTAGCTTAAACCTAACCATGCGCTACCTCCCTGGCCATCAAAGGCGGGTACATGCTCTCGGCCAACCTCCACACCTCAGGTCACGACAGGGCGCCATGGCGCATGACCGTGGAACTCTCCAGAAGGAGGGTTTCCGTTCCATCTCCTCCTCTTCTCGACAGCAGTGCCTCCACCTCCTGCTTCATCCCTTTGTTGATGCAAGGCGAAACGTGATAGAATCATTCTTGTTAGTGTTTTTCCGCCCGCATTTTGCAACCTCCTCGACATCGTATCTCACACATTGTTTCCGAAGCTGAAATAGACTATGGCTTCACCGTCGCCACAGGGCGTCGGTGAAGCCCCCGTCATGCCTGACGAACCCGTAATTATTCAGCCCTTAACGGGCCTCGATTTCCTTCGTTTTGCGCCAGTCGTTCCCTCGCCAATAGTACCCTCGACAGCCCTTCCAGCGCCAGCGGAACCGTCGCCGTCAGTACCATCGCCAGCAGAACCTCCGCCAGCGGCTCCTTTGCCACCAATACCTCCGCCATCGGCTCCGTCGCCAGCAGACCCTTCGCCTGCAATTCCGTCAGGTCCAGTCACTGAGGTTGTCGTCGACAACTCGGACCTCCCACCGCCGATTCGAACACGGGCCGAATGCTCGCGTGCAGCCGTGCAAGGGTCTGTTCGTGTGGGACCCCCTTCCAAGAAGCTTGCAAATCCACGCTTCCACCAGACCAAGATCTCCTTCGAGCGCACATCCATGGCACCACCCAGGCAAGATCAAACCCAACCCACCGAGGCTACACGGACCGTTCTCTTATCAATTAGCCCCTCTGCTTCAGCCGACACAGTGTTGCCCGACATCGCTGAGAATCTTTACCAGGAAGCGCTTTTCAATTTCAAGAAGTCCTGGACTACTGATTTTCCTTGGCTTGTAATTTGCCAGACGTCTTACGGGTTTCCTTCTATGAAGTGTACCATCTGTATGGAGTATGGTGGCGCAGGGACGAATTTCGCGAGGGGTGAAGGGGCTACAGACGTGCAGACACAAGCCATGCGGCTTCACCAGCGGTCCGGGAAGCACAAGGATGCGCTTCACAATCAGGAGTTAGCTCTGGCGAAGGTCAAGAGCCAACAGCGAATCGAGGATCTCCCTCAAGCACGGGATCTAGAGCACGAGCAAGTGCGGGCTCTGTTGGAGACGCTCTTCTTCATCGCCAAGACTGATGCACCAATCGAGATGTGGGTGCAGCTTGTTCGGCATCTGGCTAGCCGTGGCACTCCGGGCTTCCCCAAAAGTGGCTACGGCTCGTACTATACCACGTAAGAGTGGGTTTTACTGCTCTTATTTTTGTTGATTCTTGTGTTGTGTTTTCGTATAACCTCAACCTTGTGTTGTCCTTCCTTGCAGGTACGGATTCCAGGAGCTTGTCGTAGCATCGGCGACCTACCTCCACGGCCAACAGCGCGAGTACATCGACGCAAGCCCGTTTATCGGGTTGAGCTGCGATGAGAGCACCGATCGTGTGCACGAGAAACACATGATTGTGTTTGTGACTTTTTTGCGAGATGGCTTGGTTGTCACGGAGTTTCTAACTCTACTTACTGTTGACAAGGGTGATGCAAGGTCCCTCTTTGGTGTCCTCACTGCGTACTTGGAGAGCGTCAACATCGAGCTAAGCAAGATCGCGGGAATCAGCACCGATGGCGCCATGGTGATGATCGGCGGGAGTACTGGTCTTGCCGCGCGGCTTCGCTTAACCGTTCCCCATCTCGTGTCAACTCACTGTATCGCACATCGGTATAACGTTTACCTCTTAATGTTGTTATTGTATATTATATTTTGCATTCGCTAATTCCTGCGTGACATGCCCGCCCCTTTGGCAGGGAAGCTCTCGCTGCCAAAGACTCTGCGATCGCCCTGCCTGAACTCAGCCTCGTCGACTCCGTCATTCGTGCAGTTGCCGAACATCTCGGACGCTCCAGCAACTCTCACAAGACTTTCTTTGAACTGCAGAAGGTCTTCACGCAGACGAACCTCGAGGTTCAGGGCATCCATGCCGTGCGGTGGTTGAGCCGCGGTGACGCCATCGCCCGTTTCGTGAAGGTTTTCCCGGCGGTGGTGGTCCTACTTGAGCGGCTGGACCCCACGATGTACCTGGTGGTGACATCTCTGAAGTTCCATGTCTTCCTCTATTTCTTTGCAGACATTCACGTTGAGCTGAACATGCTCAACCTAATGTTCCAGAAGCGCGAGGTAATATGCTGTCAGCGAATACGCGTGTATGCCTGTGCTTCTCTGTGCTTATTCTCCTCTCTGTTGTGCTATCCCTACCCTCCCCCCCCCCCCCCCCCCCCCCCCCCACCACCAACCTGCAGGTGGACTTCATCGCTGTGCAATCCCAGGTGCGGCGGATCCTCGTGTTCCTCCAGGAGCGTTACATCGATTGTGGTCAGCAATTCGGGGGCAGTGCAAGCGCAATGCTGTCGACGTTTCTCGCGCGGCACAGCTCGCCGTACAGCCGAGACGTGCATGTGCAAGGCGTGGACGGTGATCGTCAGCCATGCACTCACGAGTTCACTCTGCACGAGACAGCTGTAAAGGGCTACACCACCAGCGCGGGAGACCTCCAGTCGTGTGTGCGGACATGTCGGTCGTTCGCGACGGAGCTAATATACAATATTAACTTCCGCCTCGGCAGTCTGTCAACTTTTAACTCTGCTAAGCTCTTCATGCCACGCACCTGGCCGCGGGGAAGAGAGGCGAGAGACGCGGTGTGCCTTGAGCATCTGGACGGCCTCTACACCATGTTCCATGCGCGCGAGCGAGAGGAAGTTCTACCAGGTGAGTAAACCTCCCCCTCGTATTCGTCTTTGTGATTTGCTCCGGTATACGATTTTGTTGTATGTGTCAGTAAGCGTGATATGGCCCCTTGAGTTGCACTACGGTCCCTTGCTATCGATCACCCGTCCCTTCGGCCAGGTGTGACGAAGCGGGAGTGCAAAAGGGAGATGCGGACCTTCTTGTCGGTTCTATCCGGGGCGCCGAAGGAGGAGCAGGCCTTCCATGCGGGCCTGAAGGCGATGATGGCCACTGCAGACTGGCCGAGGAGCTACCCCAACCTGGTGCGGCTATGGGTAGCAGTGGCGGTGTTGCCGATTAGCACTGTGGAGTGCGAACGCGGCTTCTCCCGACAAAACATCATCAAGAGTTGGCAGCGGACGGGATTGCACGACGCGAAGCTTGGTGATCTCATGACGCTGAGCTTGCTGGAGTACGACGTCGAGTGGAAAGACCTTGTGGAGCTGTGGCGCAGTACGAAGAAGCGCCGCCCAACCAAGCGTAAGAGCAACCCCCCTCATGCCGTGAAGAAGCGTGGTGGTGGTGGTGCAGCTGATGGTGGCAAAGGCAACAGCAGTGACAGGCAGCAGGAGAAGGCCGACCATGGCGGTGGCGGCCATGACTCAGATGATGATGTTGCAGGAGGATATAGTGATGATGATGATGTGCTGATGGAGGATGCTAGATGGATTTGAATAATGATTGTATTGTCAGAACGTGGAATGAAATTTTTTCACATACATAACAGTGTTGGTAAAGTAGTTTTTTACCCCCCTGACAAATCAGGATTACACTAGTTTTTACCCTGACAGGGCAGGATTACATTAGTATTTACCCTGTCAAAACAGGATCCTGAATGCACCTCAGCACTGATCAATCAGGGCGAATTTTTTTTTTGGGGGAAACTGCCCTGATGGGTCAGGGTCCCCTGAATCCTATCTGAGGCCCTGCTGCCTTCGTGTTTGTGCAGCCAAGCAAGCCCCAAGGCGGTGTAAATGTCCTCTTACTGTATTCTCAACACTGTACACGTACAGTTCGACACGCCGTGCAGGATATGCACAGTGGTTTTGAAACACCAAACTGTACACCACAATAATGGCAACATACGATTCTACTGACAGAAACCCAACAGCACAGTAGATTCTCGAATCCCCCGAACCAAGGCCCTTGAGCCATCCTTCCGTTACCTCCAGCTTCGCCTCATCCCTTTCCTCCATTCACCATCGCTCACTCGATCACTCGAGTCTAGTAGGTCCTCTCATGCTCCTTACTATTTGGCACCATCTTTTTCCCAAGTCACATCTCTAGTTTTCGCTCTACTGAAGCCGTGGTGAAGGCATGGATGTTGACGGCGACTCCGAGTGGGAATGGGACAAGATGTGGAGGAAGCAGCGAGAGGAGGAACGGCGGAAACAACGGGCAGCCGAACGGGCAAGCATGAATTGGAGAAGGCACAGCGCGGGTGGCGTAGCCGGAGATTTCTCGGACGAATGGAAAACGTTAGTGTCGGAGGATCAGGAGGGAGCAGGTCCGGAGGAGGATGCGTCGTGCCATCAGTTCCCGCTACTGAAGAGTAAAAGCGAGCGAATCGTTAGCACGAGCGGCGGTAACTTACCGGCCGTTTCCGGAAAAGGTCTCGCGAAGAGCATGAGCGAGAGGATGGACCCGCCGTCGCCGGGCGGCGAGAGCGAGGAGTTCCATTTCCACAACCTCAGGCGGGCGCAGCGCAGCTCGTCCATGAGTGCCGGCTTGTTCGCAACTGGTTCGCCCATGGCCGGCCCATCGGGCGGCGCGTCCTACTTCCCCGCGTCCTGGTCCACCGGCACCTTCAAAGGTCCCCCTGCCGCCACGCTCTCCGCCACGTCATCCATGGGGACCGTGCCGCCAAAATCGGGCTTGCATCCATCGTTTGCCCCGTGGCGAAGGCGGAGCGAGAGCGTGGGGTCCATGGACGTGGGGCCGACGACCCCCAGCTCTATCTTCCTGCCTCGCAGCACCAGCGATTGTTTCGACGTCGCGAACGCGTCGCAGCTGGGTAGATTGGGAATGTCCCCAGTCGCAGCAGCCGTCGCAGCAGTGGACGGCTACGGTTCGATCGATCAGCGGTACGGGTCGAATGTCGCCAACGTACCTCGCACCCGCGACGGCACCGGCAGGCGATTAGCATCGGCAGAGTTACCCCAGCGTCCTGTGAGCGCATCTGCGGAACTTTCAGGGCGCGCGTCGAGGTTGTCGCGGGGTTCGCCACCTCAAATCCAGCGGCCGGTCTCCCCGCCGCCTTTCACTCCCCCCATTCCCGTCGCGGAGCCCGTTTCTCCCGATTCAGCAGAACCCGATATTATCTTTAAGGCTCCGTACGCTAACGTGGCACCTGCCGTGGTTGGTGCTGTCGGCATGCAACGGCTGTCGCTGCAGGTGAACCGGCTAGAGGTCCACACGGACGGCGTCGGCAGCCGAGATGGCAGTCCACGTGGCAGCTGCTGCGGAAGCCCGGCTAGCAGCTGCGGCGCCAGTCCACGTGCCGGCTGGTCAGGCAGTCCGCGTGGCAGCTTCTTCGGCAGTCCACGTGGCGACAGCCACGGCGGCACGCAGCTGAACAGCGGGCAGAGCAGCAGAGAAACCAGCCCCAAAGACCTTCAGGAGATTAACTCCTTTGAGACAAACCACTTCCCGGCGGGGAGATTAAGCATCCGCGCAGGAAGCCACGCGAGCAGCGCCGCGCACAGCATGTCGGGGAGTCTCGCGAGCAGCCCGAGGGGCGTCAGCTGTGGCTATAGTGCCCCCTGGGAGCTGCCTGGCGCCGGCGATATCATCCGCTCCCCCGTCGCGCCGCCCACGGCGCAGGCGCCGCGCAACAGCGGGCAGCCGACCATTCAGGAGCTTCTAGACGCGCTTAAAGCCATCAGCCCGGACGCCGCGCTCGAAAGCGCCGCCGCCGCTGTCGCCGCGGCGACTGCTGCGGCCGTCGCGTCGATGCCGCCCGGCGTGTCGATCCCCCTCCCTGCCCTTTCCCCGTCCGCGTTATTATCCCCGATCGCGGTCCCAAGAGCGGGGGACGGCGAGGGGTTGGGGCGCAGGCTGAGCGGCGGCTTGGACGGCTCGAGCCGACCGGGATCGCCGCTAGCGCCGGTGCCGGAGGTGCCGCACGAGGAGGAGCGCAGCTGGGATGGCCCGCCCGCCCCCCCCGCAATGGGCTGTAGCGACGACGGCGCGGACGACAGCGACAGCCCCTTGGGATCGCCGATTCTAGGGTTAGGCGGGCGCGCGTTTTCGGAGAACGGGAAGTGGACGGGCAGCGGGAGGGCGGAAGAGCTGCGGAAGAGCCGCAGCGTGAGCGGCGGGGAGCGCGTTGGGGCGGAGGTTGTGAGCTTCCACGCGGTATCTCCGCTGGTGGACGCGCGTGCCGCGGAGAAGGAGCTGGCAGTGCGCGCGCAGCACCAGCAGCAGCAGCAGCAGCGCGCGGGCGAACAGCGCGCGGGCGAGCACTCTTCCGCGGTGTGCAGCGCGTTCAGCAGCCGTAGCACGTCCGCGGACGGCGGGTCGGAGGAGAACGACCCCCTGGGGGACCTTCCAGGCAGCTTCGGGAGCCGTCTGGGTGTCGGGACCGCAGCTAACGGGCACTCTGGCGTGCAGGGAGCGCGGGAGGCGGGTGCAGCGGCGGCCGCAGGAGCGAGCGGGGGGATGGGGGGATCTCCGCGGTTTTCCGCGCGTGCGGTTTTTCCGCCTTCGTTTTCGTTAAGCCACTATCTGCAAGACGACAACGACGGGGAACCGCTGGAGGAGGAGGGGGGGGGGGGGGAGGGGGAGGGGAGGGGGAGGGGGAGGGGGAGGATGGGGCAATGGGTGTGGGGAAAGTGCGGGAAGCGGGGGAGAAGGGGAAAATGGGAGAGAGGGGGAAAGGAGCCGAGGATGGAGAGAGGGAGGAAAAGGAGGCAGACGAGACGCAGGAAGCGGAAAACGGAAGTTGGGGCGGAGGGGCGCGGAGGGACAGAGATAGGTCTGGTGCGGCGGGCGAGGGGGCAGGGGAGGTAGGCGGACGAGGGGGAAGAGGCGGGGTTGTAGGAGCGGAAATGCAGAGCAGCAGCGGGAGCCATAGGGCAGATACTGGGGCCTCAAGCCATGGCCGCGTTATGGTCAACAGCGACAGTATCGGCAGCAGTAGCAGCAGCTGCAGCAGCGGCAGTAACAGCAGCAACAGCATCCCCGTGCTGAGTCCGTCGAGTAGCATGGACGTGGGCGGCGACGGGCAGGCGGACACGCCCTGGGCGGATTACGGGGACGACCAGCGCAGGGCCGCGCATGCCACTGCTGCTGCTGCCGCCGCTGCTGTCGCTGCTGTTAGTGCTGCTGATGCCGCTGGCGCTGGCGAGCACGTGGGGGGCGGAGAGGGCGCAGCTGAGGGTGAAGGGGCGGGGCTTGGGGAGGCAAAGGGCGCAGGCGCGGAGGGCGCGGGCGCAAGGGGTCCGCACGTGTGGAAGGCGGGGCCTGGGCTGGGGGAGAGGCGGAGGAGCTTTGACGTGCGCGCACTGCTGAAACCGGAGGAGGGGGAGGCGGAGCAGAGGCGCGCGGGCGGGAGGAGCGGGCGCGGGGAGAGTTGGGCGGAAGTGGACTGGCTGGGGCTGGAGTTTGGCGCGTGGCGGGGGGAGGACCTGGGCGGGTTCACTTGGGAAGAAGCGGAGGCTGTGTGGGTGGTGGAGCGGGCGGGGGAGCAGGCGAAGGGGGGGAAGGGGAGCGATGAGGGGCAGGAGAAGGTGACAGATGGGGCTGGTGACTTGGGGAATGGGAGGGAGAGGAGGGAAGGGGGGGAAGCAGCGAAGGCGGGTATGGGCGGCCATGGGGGGGAGGGTGGGGAGGCGAATGGAAGGGGATTCGGCCATAAGGGGAGTGGGGCAGGAGAGAGCCGCGGGGAGAGAGGTGATAGCACAAGACAAGGTGCGGCCAGGTGCGAGGGCGTGCAAAGCAGTGGCAGTGTAGTGAAGGAGGAGAAGGAGGAGAAGGAAGAGGAGAAGGAGAAAAAGGAGGAGGAGGAGAAGGAGAAGGAGGTGGTGGTGGGGGCGAGGGGCAGGCGGGCGAGGGCGCTGTTCCCCACGTGTGTGTCGCTGAGCCACTACCTGAGCGACCCCTCCCACCCCGACGACGATGAGCCCCTGGAGGACGTGGCGCACGATGGGGGCGAGGGCGCGCATGGGGCCGAGGGCGCGCATGGACAGCAGGGCGCGCATGGGCAGCAGGGCGCGCATGGGGGGCAGGGCGCGCATGGGCAGCAGGGCGCGCATGGGGGGGGCGCGGAGGAGATGCAGCAGGGGGAAGGGGAGGGGAGGAGAGCGGGACAGGGAGATGGGAGGGGTACGGGGCGAGTAGGGAGTGCAAGCGGAGGGGCGGATGGGTCGGGGTTGAGCCAGGAAGGCAACGTGCTGCTGCCTGCTCGTGCCCCTGCCAGCCTCCGTTTCTCCCCATCCAAGCCGCCTCGCCCATCCCCATCTCCTCCCACCCGTGCCACCCCGCCTCCCCCCCTCAGTCCTGCTCCCACCATGGCCTCTCAGCCTGCTTCTGCGGTCCCATCACCGGCCCCACCAACCCCACCGTCCACGCCACCCCCGCCTCCTGCGGTTGCTGCACCTGCGAGCCCCTCTCCTGGGGACTGTGTAGCCCACATGGCCGCGTTTCTCAGGTGCGCCTTGCATGCACATGCACACGCACACGCACATATGCACGCACACGCACATATGCACACGCACATATGCACACGCACATACACACGCACATGCACACGCACACACACACGCACATGCACACGCACATGCACACGCACATGCACTTTGCTGGAAACATAACATCTTTCAAGTCACATTCATGCTTCTTACTCTGCTTCTGTCGTGTAATGTTGCTCCTAGCCTCCCCCTTATTGTGTCCCCGCTCTTGTCTATCCCTCTTTATGAGAGCTTATCTCATTTCCTTCCCTCTCTCCTTCCCTGTCCTGCCAATTCACCCGTTTGTCACCACATCAGAAACTTCCTGGATCTTTCAGCCACGCCGTTCCTCTCACTCGCTCTGCCTGCTGCCACCATCGTGAGCTGTAACGACGCCACGTGTCACACGCTGGGATGGCCACGTCAGCAGCTGCTGTCCCGCAAGCTGGCCTCTCTGCTTGTTCAAAATCAAGCACAGCAGGAAGCGCAAGCCCATGAGGAAGAGCAACAGCAGGAGGAACTGATGCAGTCTGAGGGTGGGGAGGAGGGAGATACGGGGCACAGGGATAGGCCGATGGCGGTGCGGCAGCAGCAAGGGGAAGGGAGGAGGGAGAGTGAGATATCTTCTTTGGATTCCTGGCTGGGTGCTATTATGCGCACTGGGGTTGGGGAGGGCCCCCTTACAGTCACTCTCGCGAGGCCCAATGGGCTGGCTGCTGTGCGCGCCATTCTCTTTGCTGCCACCCTACACCCCTGCTCTCCGCCCTCCCACCCCTCTCAACCGTTCCACTCTGCGAGAGCAGGCAGCGATGGTGGTGGCAGTGCAGCAACAGCAGCAGCAGCAGCAGCAGCAGCAGCAGCAGCAGGGGAGGCCACGGTGGCCATCATGCTGCAGGTGCTGCCGTGAACCCTCTCCTCCATGTGCGCACACGATGACACCTACGGATGGCTGCTGTAACGCACGGCTCGCCAACCTGCGATAGCTCTGCGAGGCTTGGCGAGAGAGAGCATGCCACGGATTGGCACCGATGTACAGGAAGGGCGGCAAGGCAAGAGAGTTGGTGCTGCTACATATCCGGTCAATGTTTTTGAGATGTTAGCCGCGCGTGGGCTGTAGTCTGGTTTGCCCTGCCAGCTCAAACTCGCCTCTAGATGCATGATGTTGCAGGGTTGAACCACTGGCTGTAGGAGAAACCCTGATGTACTTATTCAATCATAGGGCTGCTGGTTTAGTCAACAGCGATCACTTGTACCACTGGTTCAGTACTGATTCCTGTGTACTGGTTGAGCCATTCAGTAACTACTACAGACAGAGTTGTAGGTACGGTAGGTATGTTTCTTGGCAAATGGATGATCACGATTCACGACCCATCCCAAACATTACCAGTCTGCCTATGTGCAGCTTCTACGCATCGGGTTATTGCTATCCCGCAGGGAGTGCTGTGCTGAGCTCGTACTTGTGACAATACAAGGAGCGTCTCTGCTGCCTCTGCTTGAATATGTGCCAGTGAAGCTGCATTAAACAACCCATTGTTCCTTTCTCCCCTCTTCCATCCGATCAATGCACTGTTTGGAAAGAGAAACATACCGTCATCGCCCGGATAGAAGACATATATGTCTTATCTTATACATTAGAAAAAAAGCTTGCTGTGTCTTGTAATTGGGACGGTTTAGGGTGTCTTATAATTCTTATAAATGGACAAAAAACCGTTTAGAATATACCCCCTAATAATAAGATTGCCCCTAATCCCTATACTGGCTTAACTTGTACACATCGACAGTTGTCTTATAATCAGGAACACCCATCTATAAGAAACACCCGTTTTAACGACACCCCATGTCTTCAATTCGACACTGTCTTATATCCGGGCGATGACGGTACCGGTAGGGGATACACAGTAATACAGCCTGAATGGACCTTGCAAAACTGCGATGCATTCCTACAACACACGTTGCCGTATCATCAGTGGCGCCTAGTGCCTTGGTCGGCACCGCCACAGTGCCACTCCAATTGCAGCAGCAGCCAGCACAGCAAGTAGTGCCTGTAATGGGGACAACAAAGACGAGGATGGGGAGGATACAAAGGGAATGGCATGTTATCACCACCAGAGAGCACACAAAGCGAGGGGATGCGGGCAGATATCAGATGGGAACACGAGCGATGAGATAAGGTGCTCACTTTGGATTGGGTGCTCATGGGAACACGAGCGATGAGATAAGGTGCTCACTTTGGATTGGGTGCTCATGGGAACACGAGCGATGAGATAAGGTGCAGTTGTGGAATAGAAGTTTGAAGCTCACTTTGGATTCGGAAGTGAGGCCCGGGTTCTGCTTGGGCGGCAGTGACAGCAGGCGGCGCCAGAGGGGCTGAGTGGGCACGAGGCTGACAGCTGTGTACTGCTTGGAGCACGGCACTGGGAGTAGCTGAGTCAGCATGGCGCGGACTGAGTCAGCGCTGAGCTGGCTGATGAGACGCAGACGGATGTCCTCCAGTGCCTGGTGGGGCGGCAAGGGGGGTGGACGGTGGGGGAAATGGGGTGAGGAGAATGAAACGGTTGGTGCATGCGTACTGCACCCACACTGAACAAGGTCGCGAGAGAAGAGCAGCTCGTTACCTGGTGTGCCAAGTCATGGGAGCCCAGCCACCAACACACAGCCCAGTCTCCACAGCGTGCGTTGCCCAGGACTCTCTAAAGCAACAGACAGCAGCGAGACGTCACCTGAAACGACTCGTCCACATTGCCGTCGTACAGGCGCGTCTGGTACGCGCGCACGACGCGGTCGAGCCAGAAGGAGTTCTCCTGCAGCCCCATCTCGTGCGCGCGCTGCTCCAACTCCCGTGCCGTCTTCACGTCTGACTCCTCCGGCCCCTCCCTCTGCACTCGCTCTATCTCCGCCACACTCAGGTCCACCTGCCAGGGGTGGGTGCAAGATGAACGGATGCAGAGAGCCTTGCTGACTCACTGGCGTGGCAAGGTGAGCGGATGCAGCGAAGAAGAAGGGACGAAGCAGAGTGGAAGCAGCGAGGAAACATGAAGGGCGAAGGCGGCAGAGAGGCGTGGAACGGAGTACCGCAGCAGCGTGGGAGAATATCGACAAAGAGATGCGTAGAGAAACAGAATCTCCTAAAACCCGAACGAAAGTCAGAGCAAAAGCGACTGGAGCAGAGCAGAGCAGAGCAGAGGAGGGAGCGCACAAGGGACCAAGCGGTGGTGGGGTCGCAGGAGAAGGCGACTGCCAGGTCCCCCCGCACCCCGCCGCCTCGTGATGGCCGCGCCCCCCCCAGGAAGGACGACGCCGCCACCGTGTAGATCTGCCGAGGAAGGTGAGGGGGGGGTGAAGGGGGTTGGTGGCATAGGGAACAGGTGGCAGGGGAGGCAGGTGAACGGACAGGGCGGAGGCGGGTAGAAGGAAATGGCAGGGATTTGGGAGGGGAAAGGGTGAGAGTGGGAATGGAGAGAGGCGTGGAAGGCGTGGTGGAGCGGGTGAGAGGGGAAGGAAATGGGGTGGAGCAGGCGAAGGAAGGGAGGCAGGCAGTCAATGCCTCAAAAGAGAGCGACTGCGAGGCGAGTGGGGGTGAGAGGCGAGTGGGAGGTGAGAGGCGAGTGGGAGGTGAGAGGCGAGTGGGGGTGAGAGGCGAGTGGGGGGTGAGAGGCGAGTGGGAGGTGAGAGGCGAGTGGGGGGTGAGAGGCGAGTGGGAGGTGAGAGGCGAGTGGGAGGTGAGAGGCGAGTGGGGGGTGAGAGGCGAGTGGGAGGTGAGAGGCGAGTGGGAGGTGAGAGGCGAGTGGGAGGTGAGAGGCGAGGTGGCAGGGGCAGAGAGTGCAGTGAGATGAGAGAGGCGTGGTGAGGTGAGAGACCTGGCCATGCTTGAATCGCAGCAGCTGCATGATGCGCGTCTCCAGCAGCTTCGTGAGGAAGCCCACCCACATCGTCTCCTCCACCTGACCGTGCTCATGTGCAAGGCGCATGGTGCATGGCATGGCATGCAGTCACATGGCACGCAGTCACATGGCATGGAGTCACATGGCATGGAGTCACATGGCATGGAGTCACATGGTATACATGCAATTACTGCCATGCAGTCACGTGTCATAGACTCACACAACACGGCAAATTGAATGAAAGTCAGACACGACACAGTGATGTTGCGCGTCTACACATGAGAATGAGCATTCAGAATCAGAAACTTTCCATGCAAGGCGCACTCATGACTGTGAGCCCCTCCATGTGTGCCTACACGTTGAGACGCCTCAAGCACGCATGGAGCGGCACTCACGACTTTGGGGCTGGCAGGGATGGTGAGGGGGAAGGTGATCTGCGTGTAGCCCTGCGCCTCCACCATCACCCTCCTCACCTCCTCCCTGTGCTTCCCCACCACGCACCACACAGCACACGGCGGAGAGGGCAGAGGGCAGAGAGGGCGGAGGGCGGAGAGGGCAGAGGGAGGAGAGGGCAGAGGGAGGAGAGGGCAGAGGGAGGAGAGGGCAGAGGGAGTAGTAAGTGGGCTATTCAGAAACAGGGTAGGACAGAGCATCGACACGAGCAAAGCACATCAACAGAGAGACGCGCACAAGGGGAAAGCTGGCAGGACCCAGGCGCTCCCAGATGTCAACGACCCCAGAGCAGAGCAGAGCAGAGCAGAGCAGGGCGCACCGGATGAGGGAGTCGGGGAACTTGAAGGGCAGCGCCGTGAGCGAGTCGCGCTCGTAGAGCGGCATGGCGGCTGATGGGGGAGGCACTGGGATGCCGCCCTGGTGTGGGGGATGGGGGATGCGGAAAAGGGGGAGGAGGTGGCGTGCATGTCAGACCGGTGGGTGGCATGCATGTCAGACCGGTGGGTGGCATGCATGTCAGACCGGTGGGTGGCATGCATGTCAGACCGGTGGGTGGCATGCATGTCAGACCGGTGGGTGGCATGCATGTCAGACCGGTGGGTGGCATGCATGTCAGACCGGTGGGTGGCATGCATGTCAGACCGGTGGGTGGCATGCATGTCAGACTGGTGGGTGGCATGCATATCAGACTGGTGGGTGGCATGCATGTCAGACTGGTGGGTGGCATGCATGTCAGACTGGTGGGTGGCATGCATGTCAGACCGGTGGGTGGCATGCATGTCAGACCGGTGGGTGGCATGCATGTCAGACCGGTGGGTGGCATGCATGTCAGACCGGTGGGTGGCATGCATGTCAGACCGGTGGGTGGCATGCATGTCAGACCGGTGGGTGGCATGCATGTCAGACCGGTGGGTGGCATGCATGTCAGACCGGTGGGTGGCATGCATGTCAGACCGGTGGGTGGCATGCATGTCAGACCGGTGGGTGGCATGCATGTCAGACCGGTGGGTGGCATGCATGTCAGACCGGTGGGTGGCATGCATGTCAGACTGGTGGGTGGCATGCATATCAGACTGGTGGGTGGCATGCATGTCAGACTGGTGGGTGGCATGCATGTCAGACTGGTGGGTGGCATGCATGTCAGACTGGTGGGTGGCATGCATGTCAGACTGGTGGGTGGCGTGGTGGAAAAGGAAGAGAAGTGGGGAACTTGGCTCGTTGGTTGAGGTGACTGACTGAATGGGTGAGTAAGTGCGTGCACGAGTGGGCGAGAGAGTGTGATTGTGAGTGGTGATATAAGTGCTGCAATTGCTGCAGCACCCACCTCTTTCTGCCCACACACATCGACTCACACACTTAATTTCTGCCCACCCTGCGCCTGTGTGGCTTTCATTGCCACCTCACCAGCCACTGCCTGCACCTATCAACCGTGCCCTCACCAGGTACTGCTTGATGAGCGGCAGCGCCTGCTCCAGGCGAGTGCTGCCGACGATAACGGCAGTGAAGGGCGAGGGGTCCTTGAACGCCCGCTCAAAGTACTCACACGCCCTGCTGTAGTCCACGCGCTTCAGAT